CCTTGGGGACGAACCTATTTGGGGATGTCAGGCAAGTCTCACTGCTAAGCCGGATCCTTGTATTCAGTTCTCTCTGTTGAAACACCTTGTGTGGTTTCTGTTTTCTTGACAAGCCTCTGACGGACACTGAGGATGTCTTTCCTAAGCTGTCCGTTCTCCGCTTCGCGCCTGTCCCCTCCCCCACCGCAGTCCTCCCAACCTCAGATCAGAGCTTCTCTCCCCACCCAGTAGCTCCAGCCGGGAACCTGGGTGATGGAGGGCACCTTCCTCTCCTCACTCCACAGATCCCACCCATCCACTAGTCTTGCTTGTCTCCAAAAGAGGTGCTTCCCCCCTCCAACTTTCTTTCTTTTTTTTTTTTAAGGAAGATTGACCTTGAACTAATATTTGCCACCAATCCTCCTCTTTTTGCTGAGGAAGACTGGCCCTGAGCTCACATCTGTGCCCATCTTCCTCTATTTTATATGTGGGACGCCTGCCACAGCGTGGCTTGATGAGCGGTGTGTAGGTCCGGGCCCAGGATCCCAACCGGTGAACCCTGGGCCAACGAAGCAGAACGCGCTAACTCAACTGCTACCCTAGGGGGCCGGCCCCTCCCTCCAACTTTTAATTTTGAAAATTTCTAAACATGCACAAGAATTACAAGAAAAGTACAAGGGCCGTCCTTCCACCCTTGATAGGGATTCACCGGTTTTAACAATCAGCCCTCTCTCTGTCTTTGTATATCTGTCTCTATCGATTGATAGATATGTATATAGATATTGATAGATAAATAAAGAGAGTGAGATGACTGTTAAAAACTGGTGAATAGATAGATAGATAGATATCTATAGCTAGAGATATAAATGGGAAGAGAGAGATTCATTTGTGAATTGAGTCCTTTTGTGACATGTCACCCCTGATATTTCAGCAGACACCTCCCAAGAACAAGGACATTCTCCTACGCCGCCACAGTGCCATTATCCCACCTGGAAACTTTGACACTCATGCAGTATACAGGCCTTATACAAACTTCCTTGACTGACCTGCTGATGTCCTCCACTTAACATACCTTGATTTTCTCTCCTGATCACAGCTCGATGCATGCTCTCTCCCTCCTCTTTGCTCCTGCCCCCGACCAGCTCATCAGCACCTCTCACTCCAGCTCCCTGCCTCCCTGCCGGCCACCCCATCGCCCATTCTCCTCTCAGCAGTCAGAGTGAACCTTGGTAAAACCTCAATCAGATCATGTCACTCCCCTGCGGAAAATCACCCGCGGCTCCCCATCCTTCTTAGACCAGAAGGCAAACACTTACTGTGGCTTCCACGGCCCTATGGATCCGGCTGTCTGGACGCTCTCACCACCTCTCCAACTGCCTTTCCCAGCCCTCCAACCTGCTTGTTCCCACCTCAGGGCCTTTGCCCTGGCTGTTCCCCTCTGTCAGCAACACTGTTCCCTCAGTTGTGGGCATGACTTCCTCACGTCAGTCAGCTCTCTGATCAAATATTTCCTTCTCAGAGAGGAGCTCTCTGACCACCCTGTTGAAAATCACATCCCATCACTTGCTGTGCTCTCCACTGCTTTATTTTCTTCATAATACTTTTTCACAACCAGCCATTAAATCACATATCTACTTCTTTCTTTATTTTTTTAATCCTCTCATTAGAATGTCAGCTGTAGCCAAGCAGGATTTTTGCCTTTTCTCTTTCCCACCGCTGTATCCCTGGGGCCTAGCATAGTACCCGCTCACGCAAGGTGCCCGGGACTTATTTTTGAATGAGTGACTGGGTGAGTCATGCATTTTCCCGTTAGCCATCGCCCCAACCAGACTCTGAGGTCCCCGAGGGCAGGGCCTGTGTATGTCCTTGTGTATCCTCAGCCCTCAACACCTGACAGAAACAAGTATTCTGGAAATGCTTCTAAAATGAAGAAAAGAACAAATAATGGTGGAAAGTAGATCGGTGGTTGCCTGGGGCTGGGAATTGATTGTGAGTGGGCACAAGAGATCTTTAGAGGGTGATGGAAATATCCTAAAATTGGATTGTGGTGCTGGCTGTACAACGCTGTAAAATCACCCCAAATCACTAAGTCACTTAAAACAGGTGAATTTTATGATACGATTATACCCAGTACATGAGCGCTCCCCGGGAGGCGCCCTGCAGGTCGTCTGAGCCTGACTCTGTGCCCAGCCCTGGGCGATCCTGGGGACACAGTAGTGACCAAGGCAACCCCTGTCCCTGGACCGTGACAGCCCGGAGTGGGCAGGGCCAGGCTGGGGGAAGCATAGGGGACCGTAGGAGCCCAGGGGAGGCTCCCGATCCAGATGCGAGGAGTCAGGGAGAGTTTCCTAGAGGGGCGAACGGCTGAGACAGAGCCTGAAGGATAATGTGGCTCATGACTGCGACGCCAATTTTTTTCTTTTTTTACACTTTTTCTGCCTCAGCATCCGTCTGGCGGGTCCCTCCTTCAGAGCCTCGCATCCAGCTCTTCCGCGCGTTCCCGAGGCCGGGGCCACAAGGGGGCGCTGTTCGCCCAAGCGCGCGGGGTGTCTCCGGCGATCCACGTGGCCCGGCAGGAGCCGGAGGTCTGCGCGATGTGTCGGGGGTGGGGGTGTTTGTGGGGTAAACGGTCCAGAGGAGACCGCGCCAACAGGGCCGGCGTGTGGCCCTGCGCACAGCGAAGGCGGCGGTGCCCCGGGGAGGAGGAGGACGCCGGCGCGGCGGGGGCTGTCCGGTCCCGCGTGGGCCCGTCCCGGGAGACCCCCGCCTCCAGGGTCGGGGCGCCCCTTGGCTGCAGCGCAGGGCGGAGCTTTCCAAGGAGCCGGGAAAGGGGGCGCGGCGCTAGGCACTGTCCTGCGTGGAATGTTGCGAAACAGCCCTCGCTGTCCGCATGGATGCTGGAGACGAGGCGCCTAAAGGGGCGGGGCTCCAGCGGGGGGCGGGGCTTTCAAAGAGCGCGGGAAGGGGGGCACTGCACGCCGGCCTGCGCCAACTGGCATGATGTGGGCGCAGGGGGCGCGGGGCGCTGCTCTCGGGGTGGGCGGGGCTCTCCAAAGACAACTGGAAAGGGGGTGCTGAGACTGCCTGAGCTGCATGCCCCCCCGCAACAACCTAGATGGGGGTGAGGTGGGGTGGTGGGTGCAGCACGTGGCCTTAGGTGGGACGAGGTCACCAGGCAGGGCGAGGGCGTTAACTGCACGTCCCTCCCGGTCTGCTGTGAAAGAGACGAAGCTTGGGGGAAGTGGAGGGTGGGAGGCAGAGAGAAGTAGCGTGAAGAGCGAGTCTCCATCAGGCGTGGGAGAGAAGATGGGAAATCGGCTTAGAGGAGCCCGTGGGAGGTCCTCGGAGATAACGGGTCTGTGCAGCTCCGCGGGACCAGAAGTCTGCCTCTCTGGGGACTGTTGATGGGGGAGCTCTGAGGAAGATCGCTCCGGCACAGGGAAGAATGGTTCCGGGCAAAGAGCAGCCTCTGGCAGGGAAGTGGACCTTGACTCTGTCCCCAATTTCCTGCGCACTTTGTGGCCTCAGTTTCCCCATTAGTCCAGTAGGTCGAATCATCCCTGTGGAAGTGCTAGGCCCCTTCTGCCCTGCTCACTTGCCCGCGGTTTGCAGAGGTCAGTTACTGGGATTGCCTTTTCTGTGGCTGGCCCTGTGCTGGGACACGGAAGTGACGGAGACAGCCCCACACCCACCCTTCATTCACAGTCCAGTGGGGACCAGATAGTGACAGCCCAGAATGGGTCAGCGCTGAGATGGGGGAAACAGGCAGAAGAGTTAGGGCCAGGATGGGGGAATCAAAGGGCCCTCTAGGATCTGGAGAGCCGGCGCTCCTGACTCAGCCTGAAGGGGGTGAAGGGGCAGCCTAAACTTTGGAAGGACTGGATGCGGGGCGGGCCTTAGAAGAGGCTCCACTTCTAAAAAGAGGTGTTTGAAGCTTGAAGAATGAGTAGCATTCTTCAGAAGGTGCAGTATCAGGAAAGAGTTTTCTAGGCAGAGGGAATGCCGTCTGCAAAGGCTTGGAGGTGAGTGTGGCTCATTTCTACCAAAATTCTTTGTTCCCTCCCTGGGGATCCCCTGGGTGCCCTGGCAGGGCCATCTGTCCCAGATCTCCGGGTTCAGGATCCATAGCTGGTTGATGGCTGTAATGTAAACTCTTGAGGGCAGACCCTTGCCTTGGTCATCACAGCCTGGTAGTTTAATGACTGGCCTTGAGGTCAGCCAGAAGCTGGGTCTGAATCTCAGCTCCCCGCCTAATCAGATGTGTGACCTTGAGCAAGTGACTCAATTTCCCCATCCATCAAATAGGGATATAATACCGGGTTTCACAAAATCAATCACCGCATTTTAAACAGCTATAATAATTTAAACATATAATTTATATATTACATATTTAAAAATATAGAATTTGTAGATTAAATCAAGGACCCAAGAAACAATAGGGAGACATAAAAACAACATGCTGCCACGTCAGATGGCACTGTGTCTGTACCTAAGTTACAGAAAGTGCAATTGACAGAACAGGAATTGCCAGCTCAAAGATATAGTATTCCAAACTTGATTATTTAAAATTTTAATAGTGATTAGCAGCAGATTTTTTTTTTTTTTTTTGCTTGAGGAAGATTGGCCGTGAGCTAACATCTCTGCCAATCTTTCTCTATTTTGTGTGTAGGATGCTGCTACAGCATGGCTGACGAGTGTAGGTCAGCACCCGGAAACTGAACCCGGGCAGCCGAAGCAGATCGTGCCAAACTTAACCACTAGGCTATGGGGCCAGCTCCTGGGTTATAATTTTTTTAATTCCTTGGTTCAAAATTTGTAAGAATCAAAAATGGGGTGAGTAATTTTGGGTGCCCTTTAACACCCACCTCTCAGGTGCTGGGTCCGCGTTACCTGCTCCCCTGTTGGGACCCAGACGTCAGACAGGGAGACCCTTTTTACTCCCTCTTGTTTTAGGAGATGACTCAGGAGGAAGGGCTGTGACCATGCCACCCCCCTGGACACACACCCTGCTTTCCCGAGGGGCACCGTTATATTCTTCCTTTATTGGCTGTCCTTGTATAATACAAATCTGCAAGTTTAGATACAAAAAAATCTGGAAACAAAAGATAGAAAAGTACCCGCCAGGCACCCCCCCATCTCCCCGGACCCCTCCCCAGCGGGCACCGACGTGAGGTAACTGAGGATCTCCTCCCCCTTCCCCCTACCCCGCCTCCTGGACCCCCAACTTGGTTCCTGCCCCCATGAGACCTTGGCCCAAAGAAGAGGTGGGCCCCATGTTGGGGGCAGGGGCGACAGGGGTGAGCACAGCATTGGCAGTGAACGCAGCGGGTGGGCCAAGGGAAGCCCTTTGCTTGTGCTGTGTGTGGGCGGAGGGGACGACCAGACTTGGGGTGGGCACTCGGGGGGCGCCCTGGAGAGCCCCTAAGTGGGCACCCCTCCTGCATCCCACCCAATACTGGAAGGTGGAAGGTCAACAACAGAAACTAGGAAATGTAACTTGAACGGAGGGCGCTCAGTGGGACTGTGGCCATCCCCCTGCGTCTGGGGTGGGGGGAGAGGGGCATTGCCAGCCTGAGTCCGGCAGTGAAATAGGTCCCTTCGCCAGGCTGCATCCGTCCCTGAATTCCATCCTGTCGCAACCTGGGCGTCACAATGTTGGTTCTGTAGTGGCTGGGGGGGAGGGGGTGGTCAAGAGAAGGGGTTAGAGGGGGTGTTGGGGGCCCAGCCCCAGGGAGCAGGGCTAGGGGAGAGGATGCCCCCCACTCCCAGGCGTGGGGCACCTGGAGATGAGGGGGCGGGCAGCGTGGCTCGGGCTACAGTTCAATCTCGAAGGTCTTCTGCAGGTCGCCCGAGAAGGGGTTGGAAGGCTTTTCCACAGTGGGTTTGCCTTCTAACGCTGCCCACTGGGCCTCAAAGGGGTCCAACTCAGGGGCCGGGGCCGGCGCGGGCTCCGGGGGCCAGGATGCCCCATTGGGGCGTGGGCGGGCCTGGCCCCCAGGGGCACTGGGCACAGTGGGGGGCGGGAAGGCCCCAGCTTTCCCGAGCAGGGTGGCCGGCTGGGGCTGCAGCTGGGCAGCTGAGCAGAAGGCGTTGGCCACCATCTGTGAGGGTGTGATGCCCACCACGGGCACCCGGGGCATGGGCGGGTAGCCCAAGCCCGGGTAGGCGGGCACAAAAGGGGGCTGCATGTGTGGGGGCGGCAGGAACACGGCCACCTGGGTGGGGGCGGCATCGAAGGGCCCCATGGGGGCGGGGAAGGGCTGCAGGGCGGGGGGCACGGCGGGCACCGGGGCCACTTGCTGCTGCTGCTGCTGCGCTTTGGCTGCCTGCGACACCTCCTCTAGCCACCTCTCAGCCTCCGAAGGGGTCCGCTTGTGCCCGGGCTGGAAGGCAGCTGCAGGGGGCACGGAGGGCTCGCCCCAAGCAGAAGTCCCTGGAGAGAGGAGAGAGGCGGGTGAGGGGCATGGGCTGCGGTGGAAAGAACCCCGGGCTGGGCATCAGACCCTGCAGCCAGGCTGCCTGCCTTGAGTCCAGCTCTGTTCCTCGCCAGCTGTGTTGATGCTGGGCAAATGGCTTAACCATCCTGGACCACGTGAGGGGTCTGCAGTGCTGAGGAAATACACTTCTGAGATGTCAGGGTTATCCTGAGATGGAAAAGCACAGGGAAGACTGACAATCACCCGGCCTGGCTTCCCTTCTGATTGGTCAATGCTGAACCTGTGAGTAAACACTGTTAATATCACCCTTGGTTCTGACATTTTGCTGACGTGCTGTCTTAGGAGGCCAAGATTCTGACTGCATGGATTGTTCCCGGAGCGTACTATTCTCACATACTGGGTAAGGTTCAACGGCTTTCCGTTTGTGTTGTCTAGGATTCTACAGTTCTAAATTTACGTTCTTTGCGATTCCAAGGTGCTTCTTGGTTCCAGGATAAGCTCACGGTCTAGGGTTCCATGGTGCTGGTTCTCAGTTCTTCTAAAGCTGTGAGGTCCCAAGGTTTCAGGGTTCCAAATCTGTTAATCTCCTTTGATTCTAAGGCTGTAGTTTTCTAGATTTTATGGTTCTAAGACAGGAAAGGTTAAAATTGACCCCATGGTTCTAATGTTCTCTCTGGTTCTAGGATGAAGCCCGGCTCCGAGATGACCCCGTGGTCCTAAGATCGTGCTACGGTAACCCCTGACTCTGAGATGAGCCACGGTTCTAAAGTGACTCCCTGGTTCTAGAATGAGCCCATAGCTCTGAGAGGACACCGCAGGGTGTCTGCCCCAATAGAGGGGCTGAGTTTACCTGCTGAGGCTGGCGGTGGCCCTGCCGCTGGTGCGCCAGCACTGGCGAAGGACGAGCTGATCTGTGTGCACAGAGCATTGATGCCATCGCTGTCACTGGCACCAGGGGGCTCCATCTCAGGCACTGGGAAGTCAGGGAAGGGTGGAGGTCAGTGAACAGGCCCAGGCCGTGCCCTTGACCCCATGCCCTCAGGTGTCCCTCTCTTATGACCTGTGGACCTTTCCCTCGCAAGGTGTGTGGGTCAGAGGGTCCACTCTGCAGTAACCAAGTGGCCGTGGCCACAAAAATGATAACACTGTGCCTATGTCTGTGTGACATCTGAGTGGTATAGCAGCCAAGTAGTGTGTGACGTTGGTTGGCTGACAGTTACAGGGAGCCCAAACCGAGGAGGACCTGAAGACCTGTGCATAGCCACAAACCAGAAAAAATATTTAAAATGTTTAACCACATTCATGAATTAAAAAATATGTTCAACCACGTGTATGGCAAGAGCATCGACTGGTCAGAATGGATCTCGGCCATGCTGGTATTCACTGGCTGGCGATCATTTGTCCTGCTTTGGGTAGAGGACTGGGCTCCTGCTCGCCCCACCCGGCCCAGCCCGTAACATACATCATGAGGGCAGAGACGCACATGTGCCAGCAAGACAGGAGACCCTGAACAGGTGTGGTGGCCTCGTGAGGGCTTGAGCAAAGGCACATCCGAATAAACAACAGAGGACCACCAAGTGTGGTGTGTGACAAGTGCCTGTGACATTGCAGCAAGTGGCTGTCTCCAAGGGAGCATGCACGGTGTTTCAAGGAGCATCAGAAAGCAACTGGCGGTAGGAGCCAGCAGGTGTGACGTGGGGGTGCCCAGGTGGGAGGCTAGGTGGTTTCCAGGTCAATTCGATGATGACTGTGTGTGTTAGTCCAAACAGGTGTGCGGCTTCTGAGGGTGTGGCGTCTGAGTGTGACTGAAATCCAGGTGTGTGATGTTCTGGTTCTGATTCCCCAGTGTGAGCCAATCCGCCTGTGTGATGTATGAGTGGGTTGGTGAGTGTACACGAATCTGCATGTGCGACTTCCAAGTGTGTGTGACTTTTGAGTGCAGGTGACTCTAAGTGTGTGACTTCTGAGTGTGTGTGACACCTGCGGCAGAGTGTGACACCTGTGTGAGTCCGTGAAACTTCTGTGTGGCGAGTCTCATTCAGGCAAGTGTGGAACTGGTTACAGTAGTGTGAAGCTTCCCCCAAAAGCCTGGGGAGCCTGCCGCTTCTCAGGGAGCACGTGTGACAGCCCTGGGGGTGTACTTAACGTCAGGCTGCATGAGGACAGCACATCTGAGGGTGTATGATGGCCAAGAGGTCCTGCGGGACACGGAGTGAGTGTGCGTCATTCTCAATAAGCGTTGGCGTCGGCTCAGCAGTCACCTTTTGGAGTAGCCCAGCCTCCTGGAGACAGCTCAACACCTCCCACGCCAATGCCCGAGGCCAGAAGAGGTAGGTGTTTCAGATCTGGCATATGGAGGGCAGGCCAGACCGCATGACTTCACTGACAGCTGGGAGGAGAGACAACCCTCCTGCCTGTCTCCCTCGGGCAAGACATGGTCCCGTGCCAACCTCTCTCTTCTCCCTTTCCCCCGGCAGACGTTGCTTTTAGATCATGACATATGCCACCTCTCTCCTTTTCCTGGCCCGTGGCAGACATTAGGAATTAAACACAATGCTTTTTTCCCACTGAACTCTGCTCATCTCACTCCTCGCCTGGCCAGATCTCACGGCTCTACTGGCCAAATGCTGGAAGACAAGACTGGTCCTTGTAACTGCATCTTCGTTCCATGCAAAACAGGACATTTCTACTGCCTCTCTCCTATCACTGCCCACGGCAGACATTGCTAATCAATGAGGATGTGCTACCCCGTTCATTACTGTCCCTGGAAGACATGGCTAATCAATGAGGATGGATGCTGCCTCTGCCCCATCCTTTGCCCACAAGAGACATCGTGAATCCATCACTGTGGATGACCTGACCCCGTGATCCCCGTGCTCACTTGTGCCCTTCACCTCATGTTTCCATGGGCCAAGTTCTGGGAGTCTCCCCTTGGGCAAAACTCTAACGCTCCTACTGCTCTCTCTCCTCCCTTGCCCACGGCAAACTTCGCTAATTCACCATGTGGTATGCCACCCCGCTCCTTTTTCTCGCTCATGGCAGACTCTGTAAGGAGATCACGACGAAGGCCATCACTCTATTCTCCCTGCCCGAGGCACACGCTGTTAATCCATCACAATCCTCCTTTCCTCTGAGGCTGTACCCTTCACCTGGCCAGATCTCATGGCTCTACTGGCCAAATGCTTGGAGGGAGCATTAGCCTCGTGCTTCAGCCTCCTCCTGAGCAAAAACATGGCACCTGGGCAGCTTCTCTCCTCTCCCTTGCCTGTGGCAGATTTTGCTAATCAATAATGACATATGCTACCTCTCTCATTTCCCTAACTACAGCAGACATTACTAATTGATAATTCTTGTGCTACATATTTGCTATCCTTTGCCCATAGCAGACATTGCTAATCAATCATGATTTATACTACCTCTCTCCTATTCCTTGCCAGTGGCAGATACTACTAATTGATCACCATGTGTTCCACCTCTCTCTCCTTTGCCCATGGCAGACAGTGCTAATCAATCATGGTGTGTACCACCTCTTCTCTATCTCTTGCATACAACAGACAGTAGTATCGATCCTGATGTTCCTTCCACTGAGCCTGGAGCTCACCTGTGCCCTTCACCTGGAAGTCAGTGCGGCGCTGCAGCGTGGATGGCAGCTCATTCAGCCGTAGGCTCAGCTGCCGTTTGAAAGGCGAGTTCTTCTGGCTGAGTGCCGGGAACCCACGGAAGGAGCCCTGGCGGACCAGCTGCTCCAGGGGGGCATGGCGCCGGGGGATGGCGGCCGCAGTGGTGCCTGCAGCCACTGGGGTGCCTGCCTCACCCTTCTCACCAGGGGATGTGGTGGCCGGTGTCGGGGACACGTGCCCAGGCTGGGCAGGGCCGGGAGCCGCAGTGGGGGCAGCTGCTGCCTCTGCTGGAGACATGGGGGAGACAAGTGGTTAGATTCCTCACCTTGGCATTTAGGCCTGTCCTGCCCAGTCCCCTGATCATTTTCCAGGGCTTTCTTCCTCACTGCATGTGTCCTGCCCTCAAGACAGGCTGGTCAGAGCCCTGAAATGTCCCTCATTCCTACCCAAGCCAAGACCACCTCCCCCAGGAGGCCCTTGGGGAATTGTCCCTGAACCTGAGCTCTGTGTCTCTCCAGCTTTCTGCCTCTGATCTATCTTCCTCTGCTGCTCCTGCTGTTTTTGCCTCTGAGACCTTCTGTCTCCCTTTCTGATTAGTTTAACTAACCTTTGGTGCACGACCAATGTATCAGGCATTGTTCCAAGGCCTTGCAAGTACTAACTCATTCGATCCTCACAGCCATCCAATGAGGTGGATACTACCATTATCCCCATTTTACAGATGTGGAAACTGAGGCCCAGCAATGGTAAGTGACTTGCCCAAGGCACATGCTAGTCAAGGGGCCGGCTGACTCCAGTGTCTGTGCTCCGAATGACAGCCCTACCCTGACCCTCCTTCCAGCTGGTCTTTCCACACCATGCTGTCTTCCTGTCATTCTGTCTGCTCTTCTCTCTGTTTCTCCACTTCCCACCTCAAGCACCTCCTTTCTTCCTCCAGTTGCGACCCATCGTTCCAGACCCAGCTTGGCACACTTCTTCCTCTGGGGAGATTTCCAGATTGTTCCAGCCCCTCAGACTGGGCTCCCTCCACTCTGGGACTGTTCTCCCTCCTCTGGGGGTACCTGGTCTCCCCACTCAGCAGAGAGGTGAGCTCTTCAATGGCAGGGTCTCCCCACCCCTGCCAATACACAAACCCATCCCCATCCTCCAATCAGGGCCTCACCTTGGCCCCAGCCTGAATACCGGTGAGATTAAACTCAGGCCCAGAGAGGGCAGGGAGGTCACCCAGCGTTTCTTCTCCCATCTTCCAGGTGGAGGTGGGGAGGTTCTCACCCAGGCCTGGCCTGGGGCCATGGAAACAGGCTGAACCAGGGAACCACCTCTGCGCCCACCTCACGTGTGACCTCAGGAAGGCCCCTCCCTTCTCTGGGCTCCTTTCTGGACTATAAACCTGGGATGCACATCCCTACGCCGCCTCCCCAGGCCTCCTGGGAGGGTGAGGTGAAGCAGTGAATGGCCAGTCTTTTGGAATCTGACGAAAGCTCGGTAAACAACTTTGTGGAGAGCGCACTGCTCAGTACTCCTAAATGGAAAGGGCTCTGCCTACAAGTGTGGGGCCTTGAGACTGTGAATCAGCGCATAGCAATGGTTGTGTGAGGTGTTTGGCTGATCAAAACACACTCTGTAAATTCTCACTTTGCTGTGCAAGCTGTAAAGGGCTTTCCACACTGCAGAGTGGAAAGTATAATACCCTTCGGAAACAGCAAAACCCTTTGCAATCTCTAAAGCATGTGACAACATTCTTTGTAAATTCTAATATCCTATATAAATAGTAAAGAAATATTTGTAAACTGTGAAGGGCGGTGGACCCAGTGTTCTTTTGTAAACAGTAAAATATCACATACGCTATCAGGCCCTCTGTTAACTTCACTTTGCAATCTGCTTTGCCGAGGATAAAATTCTTTACAAATTCTAATGGATGATGTAAACAGTGAAATACTTTATAAGCTGTGAAGAACTTTGTAAATTTGTAAAGAGGCTTGTAAATAACCACGTAATTTACAAATAAAAGCATACTTTGTCAATGCTAATATAACAGTAAGTGATGAAAACTTCTGTTTTCCTAACTTTGTAGTTAGAAATATTTTAAACTTACAGAAAAGATGGAATAATGGAACAATGAGCGCACAGTTTCTCTGAACCTATGGTCTCCAGTGTTAATATGTTACCGTATTCGCTCTCTCTCTCCTTCCATCATTATTTTTCTGTACCATTTAAGAGTAAGCTGCAGACAACTCAACCCTAAAACCTTCAGTACGTACTTCCTAAGAACAAGGACAGACTCCTGCTAAACCACAGAACAATTTCTCACTTGGGAAACATAACATGGATATGATGCCATTAGCTAATCTACAGCCCATATTCCAATTCCCCCAATTATCCAATTCCAATCACATCCTTTATAGACGTTCTTTACATATATATATATATATATATATATATATATACATATAATCCAAGATCCAATTCAAGATCGCACATTGCATTTATTAAAACCTGTCAAATCTCTTTAGTCTCCTTTAATCTGCAACAGTTCCCAATGGTAAATTCTTTATAAATTCTAACAGAAGCGGCATTTTCCAAAAATCTTAAAACCAGAATCCACAGTAAGATAAATAAATAAACAAATAAAATGAATTACACTGTGACTCAGCGCATAACACATTTACATTTTAAAAAAAACAACTGTTTCACAATTTATAGACTATGTGCCATTCACCTAGAATGTTAGAGTTTACCAGGTATTTTTCAAACTTTCTTGATGGCAACCCAGAGTAAGAAATGCGTTTTACATGGGAAACCGTTCCACACACACACACACACACACACACACCCCGTGCGTGCAAATACACCTACTGAAAGGGAATGATCCCTAAACTATCCTGACTCACTACATTCGATTACTCTGGTCTTTTCTATTCTTCTCTCTTTCACTTCTCCAAACGCCAGCCTCAGTCCAGCGAGCTAACTTCACACCCATGAACAGGTCTTGACACACAGTCTGAAAAGCCCAGGAGCCTCCCTGAGTTAGCAGAGAATACAGCTCTGGCTTGGGGCACTCTCCCGTGATTTGTGGCCCACAGAATACGGCCCAAGAACTCCTTAAACTGAAGGATGCTGTATCAGCTGTAACCCAACTTTGTGGTTGGTGCCGTGCTTGGTAAACTGTAGAGTCCCTGTGCCTTCTGCAGCGCTCCCTGCAAACTGGATCCCCTGGCCCGACCCCCACCCGGGGCCCACTCTGTGCCCAGCCCTGCCCTCTGGGCAGCACCCACCTTTCTTTTTGTCGGCGGCCTCTCGCTCAGCAGGCCGCCCGCCCCCAGACAGGCGGAAGGAGCCCTCGCGGGCGAAGCTGGTGCGGCTGGCATCGAAGGCGGCCGTGACCCCGCATTCCTTCTCCCGCCGCTGTTTCCGCTCCAGGCAGGCCGCAAAAGCACAGCCCACAGCGTGGCTCAGCCTCTCGCCCTAGGGGAAGAGGTTGGGGTGGGGGTTAGAGACACCGTGTTGTGCAGACTGGATGCCAGGAGCCCGGGGTTCCAGCAGCTAGGTGCTGGCTGACCCCAGACAAGTCCCTTCACCTCTCTGAGCCTCAGGGTGTATTTGCACCATGAGGGAAATAAATGACAGCCCCAAGTGAAAAAAGCCAGAAACAGTGAAACACTGTATGGCTCCATTTATATGAAGTTCTAGAATGGGCGAAATTAAACTGTGGTGAAAAAAGTCAGAACAGTGGCTGTTTCTTAGGGAGCAGGGTGGGAACTGACTGAGAAGGGGCAGGAGGGGACAGCCTGGGGTGGTGATGACGTTCTAGATCTTGATGGGGGTTTGGGCTACACAGGTGTATGCAGTTGTTAAAACTCAACAAATGTATACTTAAGGTTTGTGCACAGCATGTGTTTTACTTCCAAAGAAAAAGAGCTGGAAACACATATGAATTCTGCTCCATGGTATGCATGCCGGCGTGTTTAGGGGAAGTATTCTGACGCTTACAACTTTGAAATGCATCAAAAATGAGATGGATAAATAAGTGATAAAGTAAGACAGACAGATGTGAATGACAGGATCTGAGTGGTGGGCGTCCAGGTGACGGTCACCGTCCAAGCCTTTGTTTTTGCTTTTGCTGCGTGCTTGAAAACATTTTCTAATAAAATGCTGGGAGTAAAAATGACAGTTGCTGTTTCTTGAGTGCCTACTTGAGAGGCTCCAAGACCAGACAGCCTGGGATGGATGCTGGCTTCCCACTTTCCAGCTGTGTGTTCTCAAGAAAATCACTTCACTTCTCAGTACCTGAGGCTCCTCATCTGTAAAATGAAGGCCCTCATAGCACCTACTTCACAGGGTTGTTGCAAGAATTAGGTGAATTTATATACGCAAGGCATGCAGCACAGAGTGAGGCACAGGGAAATACCACATACGTGCCAGCGTAAATCTGTCCAGCTCTGGGCTGAGCCCTGACTTGCATCCTTTTACAGAATCCTCACAACAGTACCAGAGGTGGACACTCTTATGAACCCATTTTACAGATGAAGAAACTGAGGCTCAGTCAACACACCCATGATAACAAGTGGCAGAGTTGGGATTCTCATAAGATCTGTCTGACTTCTGTTTCCTAACCAAGATGCTCAGTCATTCTTAAAGTTAAACTTGGACATAGAAATCCTCAACAAAATACTGGCAAACGGAACCCAACAGCATTTTTAAAAGATTATGCATGATTATCAAGTGAGATTTATTCCAGGAATGCAAGGTTGGTTCAATATATGAAAATCAATGAACATAATACACCACATTAATAGAATGAAGGAAAAAAACCACATGATCATCTCAATTGATGCAGAAAACATTTGACAAAATCCAACACCCTTTCATGATAAAAACACTCAACAAAGTTGGAATAGACGTGAACTTCCTCAACCTAATGAAGGACATTTATGAAAAACTCACAGTTAATGTCATACTCAATGATGAAAGACTGCAAGCGTTCCCCTAAGACCAGGAACAAGACAATGATGCCCATTTCCAACACTTATATTCAACACTGTATTGGAAGTTCTAGCCATAGTAACTAGACAAGAAAAAGAAATAAAAGGCATCCAAACTGGAAAGAGAGAAGTAAAATGATCTCTATTTGCAGATGGCATGATCTTACATGTAGAAAATCCCAAAGAATCCACAAACTATTAGTGCTAATAAGTGAATTCAGCAAAATTTCAGGATATAAGATCAACAAAAATTAGTTATATCTATATACACTGGCAGTGATTAATGCAAAAATGAAATTAAAATAATAATTCCATTTATAATAGTATCTAAAAGGATAAAATGGTTAGGAATAAATTTAAGCAAGGAAATGAAAGACACGTACACTAACAACTACAGAACACTGCTGAAAGAAATAAAGACGACCTCAGTAAAAGGAAATACATCCTGTGTTCGTGGACTGGAATACTTAACATTGTCAAGGTGGCAATATTTCCCTGAGTGATCTACAGCTTTAACACAGTCCCGTCAAAATCCCAATGGACTCTTGCAGAAATGGAAAAGCCGATCCTAAAATCCATATGGAATTGCAAAGGACCCAGATCAGCCAGAACAGTTTTGAGAGAGAACAAAATAGAAGAACTTACATTTTTTATTTAAAAACTTACTCCAAAGCTCCAGTAATCAAAACAGTGTGATACTGGCTTAAGGACAGACATATAGACCCAATGAAATACAATTGAGAGCCAAGATATAGACCCAGACATCTACACTCAATTGATTTTCAGTAACGGTGCCAAGGTTATTCAATGGAGAAAGAACAGTCTAATAAATGGTCCTGAGACAAGTGGCTATTCACATGGAAAAAAAAGGAAGTTGGACCCCTACCTCACACCATTTACAAAAACTAACTCAAAATGGATCAAAGACCTAACTGTAAGAGCTAAAACTATAAAATTCTTAGAACTTGGGGCTGGCCCCGTGGCCAAGTGGTTAAGTTCGCGCACTCTGCTGCAGGCAGCCTGGTGTTTCGTTGGTTCAAATCCTGGACGCAGACATGGCACTGCTCATCAAACCACGCTGAGGCGGCATCCCACATGCCACAACTAGAAGGACCCACAACAAGAATATATGACTATGTACTGGGGGGCTTTGGGGAGAAAACGGAAAAAAAATAAAATCTTAAAATTCTTAGAACAGAACATGGGGTAAATCCTTATGACCCTGGATTTGGCAGTGCATTCTTAGGTATGACAACAAAAGAAAAATAGATAAGTTGAACTTCATCAAAATTAAAAGTGTTTGTATATCAAAGGACATCATCAAGAAAGTGAAAAGACAACTCACAGAAGGGGGAAAAGTTTTTGCTAATCATACAACTGCTAAGAGTCTAGTATGCAGAAAATATAAAGAACTCCTCCAACTCAACAATAAAAAGACAAACAACCCAATTAAAAAAATGGGTAAAGGATTTGAATAGATATTTCTTCAAAGAACATATACAAACGGCCAATAAGCATAAGAAAAGATGCTCAACATCATTAGTCATTTAGGAAATGCAAATCAAAACCACAATAAGAGAACCACTTTATACCTATTAGGATGGCTACAATAAAAAAATGGAAAATAGTAAGCATTGATGAGGATGTGGAGAAACTGGAACATTGTTACTGGGAATGTAAATGGTACAGCCGCTGTGGGAAACAATTTGGCAATTCCTCAAAAAGTTACTATGTGACTCAGCAATTCTACTCCTAGGCATACACCCAAAAGAATCAAAAACAGGTATTCAAATAAATACCTGCACACAAATGTCCAGAACAGCACTGTTCACAGTAGCTAAAAGATGTAAACAACCCAAATGTCCATCAGCAGATGAAGAGAGAAACAAAATGTGGTACCTCCATACAGTGGAATATTATTCAGCCACAAAAAGGAATGAATGAACATGCCACCACATGGATGAACCCTGAAAACATCATGCTAAGCGAAGGAAGCCAGTCACAAAAAAACCACGTGCTGTATGATTCAATTTGTATGAAATATCCAAAAGAGAGAAATCTATGAGACAGAAAGCAGATTAGTGGTTGCCAGGGGCTTGGGATGTATGTGTAGGGGCCTGGGAGTGGCTGCTTAATGGGATGAGGCCTCTTGTAGGAGTGATGGAAATGTCTGGAACTAGATAGAGGTGATGGTTAAACAATATTGTAAAGGCACTAAATGCCATTGAACTGTACACCCTAAAATGATGGATTTTATGTGAATTTCACCTAAAAAAATCCTTAAATTAGGGAATCCGAGAACTCTACTGCTTAATGTTTAAAACCTGAAGCTCAGAAGAGGGAAGGAGGGGCTGGCCCGGTGGTGCAGCTGTTAAGTGTGCACGTTTCGCTTTGGCAGCCTGGGGTTCGCCAATTCGGATCCCGGATGAGGACATGGCACTGCTTGGCAAAAACCATGCTGTGGTAGGTGTCCCACATATAAAGTAGAGGAAGATGGGCATGGATGTTAGCTCAGGGCCAGTCTTCCTCTGCAAAAAAAGAGGAGGACTGGCAGCAGTTAGTTCAGAGCTAATCTTCCTCAAAAAAAAAAAAAAAGAAAAGAAAAAGAGGGAAAGAATTCAGCCAACGCCACACTCTGTACCCAGAGGAGATGGCCCTGCTCTTTCCTTGCTCTGATTCTCATCCCCAAATACTTCCCCAATGACAGCAACGGTTCCTACTTATGGAACACTTACTGTGGGACTCTGTTTAGAACTTTGTGTGTGTGACCATAACGAATGCTTCCCCAGGAAATCTCTGAGCAGCCGCTGCTATGCTCCCCATTTCATAGAAGAAGAAACTGAGTCCCGGAGAGAAGTCACTCGTCCCTAAGGTCCCATAGCCAGGTGGTCTGACCCAAATCCACACTAAGCAGGTAGCATTTTATTTTCCAAAAACAGCTGCAAGAAATTTCTGGCCCCGCATGCTCTCCAGAACCTGGCCGCTCCTCCTTCAGAGGCGGAGCCTATGTCCTCTTCCCTCAGCCTGGGAAGACCTCTGTGACCACCTGGACAGACAGACAGAAGACTGCAGAAGCAATGCTGTGGTTTCTAAGACCAAGCCCAGCAAGGCAACTCAGTTTCCTCCTAGCTGGCTCCCTTGCTCATTCTCTCTCTCTCCTCGCTCTGGAGCCCTGAGCCACCACATAGGAAGCCCAGCTCTCCACGCGGGAGAGACCCTACTGGGGAGGTGCCGAGACTCCACGAAGACAGAGACATGTCTGGCCGTTCTCCTGGTGTTACAGCTCCAGACACCATCTGATTGCAACAGCATGAGAGACCCTGAAGCCAGATGCGCCCAGCCGAGCCTTCCCCAGATTCCTCACCTACACAAACCACGAGAGGGAAGAGATCACTGCAATTTTCAGTCACTAAGTGTTGGAGCCACTCGTTCCTCAGTGATGGAGAACTGATGCAACCACTGCGCTGGGCTCGGGCAACAGCAGCTGCTCCTGGCTCTGGGTTGCCAATATTTCCACACCAGCCCCTGGCAGGCACTAGTCAGGACTGACACTCGCAAATTCGTTTTGCAGCCCTAGTCTGAAAGTGTGTGTGTGAGTGAGGAAATTGGGGGCGTTGACTCACTTCGGGGGCTCAGCGCTCTTTGGAGCGGGGTTTCTGTAACAGGAAGGAATCCCTGAGTGGAGACTGGTAGTGTCTGCAGACAAAGGCATGGTTGTACTTGCTCAGGATCCATTCATCCTGCTTTTTTTGTTTTTTTTTTGAGAAAGATTGGCCTTGAGCTAACACCTGCGGCCAATCCTCCTCTTTTTGCTGAGGAAGACTGGCCCTGAGCTAACATCCGTGCCTATCTTCCTCTACTTTATACATGGGACGCCTACCACACCACGGCTTGCCAAGTGGTGCCATGTCAGCACCCGGGATCTGAACCAGCAAATCCCGGGCTGCCGAAGCAGAACGTGCGAACTGAACTGCTGCGGCACTGGGTGGCCCCCAACCATTCGCCCTGCTTTTGATACCAGCACGCCAAATGCCTTTGGAGAACTCCTCTTCAACATTCTAAGTCAATCTGATGCTCCACCCTCCCCCGGCCAAGAGTCAGACCAATCCACGCCCTCTCACCAGAATTTGAACCCAGAGCCTCAGCAGTGGATTCATCTTGGCAGTGTCCCCAGGCTGCCCTGCTCTCTACTCTTGCTGATGCTTAATGCTCTGACTGCCTTTGATCTTGTGAGATTCCTCATATCCTGCCATTAATTTTATTTTGGATTTAAATTAACCAGATTAGTTTTGCTGCCAGCAACCAAAGAATGCTGGCTAATGTAAAGGGCTGAGACAGTGGCTTCCTACCAAGTCAGGTGGGGTCTGAAGTCAGGGGCCACAGGCCAGCGCAGAATAAAGACTATATTTTCCACCATCTTTTGCAGCTGATGTTTGCATCTTTTGCAGGGATGTTCATGTAAGAAGGTTCTGACCAATGCGATGTAATCAGAAGTGTTACGTGGCTCTCCAAAAGAAGAAGGTGTTCCCCTCTTCGTGCCTCCTTCCTTTATGCAGCTGGAATGAAGACGTGAAGGCTGGAGCATGAGCATCCATCTTGGATCATGGAGTGGAAGCCATATTCCAGCATTGCAACAAGATAAAAGGAGCCACGGCCCCTGATGAGAGGGGAGGAGTCACACCAATGCCGCACTGCCAGCCTCTGGATGTCTTTCACACGAAACAGAAACAAACTTCTACCTTGCTGAAATGACTGGTATCTGTCACAAGCCTCAGAATCCCAACTGTGAGAATGCTTCTGAGAAGACAGTCCATTTGTTGCCTTCATCAGATTCTCAGAGGGGGCCTTGAACCCCCAAATATTAAGAACCACAGGCAAAATGAATGGAGGCTGAAGGAAGAGCAGGCACCCCGGGTGGTACTGTTTCAGAAGGGCCCGAGGGAGCCCGCTGGGGGCAGGAAACGCTCTACACCTTGACCTGGGTGGGGTTTATGCCTAAGCAAAAATTCGTGGAGCTGTATCCGGACCATCAGTGCACATGACTGTGTGGACATGACCCTCAGGAGAAAAGTCAGAGAAACACGAAGAACTATGGGTCGCTTAACGACGGGGACACGTTCTGGGAGATGCATCATTAGGCGATTTTGTTCTTGTGCGAACCACTAGAGTGCACTTACACAAACCTAGATGGTACAGCCTCCTACACCCCTAGGCTTTATGGTCCTAATCTTAAGGGACCACTGTCGTAGATGCGGTCCGTCGTTGACGCAAACATCGTTATGCGGCGCATGACTGGTCATGAGGAGGACGATGAGAACTGACGTCTTCCTGAGCCCTTCCTACGTGCCAGGCGTTGTTCTAAATACTTTGTATTAACCCCCTCAGGTCTCATAAGAATCCCTAAGTCAGGAGCTCCGAGTACACCCTGTTTTCCAGATGAGGACACAGGGCAGGGAGAGGAGAGGTGAGTGACCCGCTGACTCCACCAGGCCGGTCGGGGCCGGGGCTGGGACGCCAGGGCATGCGAGAGAAGTCAGCCGGCCCCGGGCTTGGGCGATACTCACGGAGTCCTTGAGCGCCAGGAAACAGTGGCAGATCCAGCGGCGGGTGGTGCCGTCGCGGCAGATGTAGGAGAAGGCCTTGTCCAGGTTGCGGTCAGGGGCACAAAAGGAGACCTTTTCGATGGTCTGGTCTACCAGCAGGTCCTGGGAGGGGCCGGGGAGGCCAGGAGAGGGACGTGAACTGTCTTGCACGTATTCATTCAACATTCCCTTAGTGTCTGCTCTATGGTCTGTCCTGAACCAGGTGGGGACCCAGCACGGCTTGAAACAGCTGTGCGCCCTGCTTGCACGGGGCTCCCAGTTTAGTGCGGGGATCAGAGCCATCACCAGATGGAGACAGCCCCAAGTCACAGCCAGGCTGCAACGAGGGAGGCACAGGCAGAAGAGGCAGGGCCGGGAGTCAGGGGGAGGCCCAGGGGCCTGCAGGAGCCAAGAGGAGGTGCATGTCCCAACTTGTCGGGGGAGTCAGGCAAAACTTCCTTGAGGAGGTATTAACTAGGCAAAAAGGCAGGGAACAGCATTTCAGACAGAGGGAACTGACTGCGCAAAGCTGTCAGTTCTGTTCAGTCATTAACCTAACTTTCATCATGTGCTGGCTGTCTCTGGTCCAGGGGCAGGGAGTTCAATGGTGAGCAACTGGACACGCGGATCTGGCCCTACGGTGCTCCCGTCTGGCTGGGTAGACTGACGATAAACACACAACAGCTAACATTTATGGATCTGAACGCTTACGCTGTTCCAGGCACCGTTTTAAACCCTTTGCATATCCTTTCTCCTTCAATGACAGGGTCCATTTATATCCCCATTTTACAGAGGACGCAACTGAGGCACAGAAGGGTTAAATCTCCTAGCTGGGGTCACCCAGCTGGGAAGCGGGTGAGCTGGGACGTGAGCTGAGGCGGCTGCTCCCCAGTCTGTGCTCTCACCCACTATCTATGCCAGCTCACAAGTAACAGCAGGACTCAACTCTGAATTATGACTGTAAGGTGTGCCAAGACGTTGTAGGAGCACATGGCATAGTCTAGAAGGGCCCTGAGGGAGGAACATCCTACAGGTGGGCAGGGACGCATTCTCAGCCTCGATCTGAGCGGGATGAGGAAAGGCGCCTAGTGGCACCCACTCCCACCCCCACCAGCCTCCTACCTTGGTCTTGTCATCCACCACTCGGAGGCCATCGGCTGACACCCAAAGGACAGACTTCACAGACTTCCGGCCCATCTGGGGTGGGGGAGGAAGATAAAGGGCCTGCTCAGGGCTGCCTCTTCCGGTCTGACCTTGCCCCCTCACTGCTCCAGCCCCTCACTCACCGCCTTCAGCTTCTTCACAGCGTCTTCGCACACGTGCATACCCCGAGACTCCTCCACCTCCACGTGGCCCAGGTACTTGGGGGGAAGGAGGGGGGAGGGGAGGACATGCCATCAGCACAGTAAGCAATGACTCCTAGCGTTCACTGAGCAGCTGCAACGCATCGCACAGTGTCCTGAGCACATCGTAGGCGTTAACTCATTTACTTGGCACCTCAACTCTACAAGGTAGGTACCCACTCCCGGCCCAGACACAGAGATGACAAAACTGAAACATGGCATGTAGGAGTGATTCCCAGCCTGCCTCTATCCCCGGGCCTTAACAAGTCCCTGTTGTCCTTCCGAGTGCGAATGTCTGCATCTCTGGGGACTGGCCCCACGCAATGACTGACGGGAGCTGGGGTACACACGGCCCAGCTCCCTCACCTATGAGTGGGATGGCTCTGTCTCCCAGATCCCCCCGTGGCATCAAGCTCAGTTGCCCACAGCCGTAGTTTAGTGACACATCCTCCACTGGCTGCCTTTTCTTCCTCACCCCCACCAGCATTTTCTGCACCTCCCAAATGGACCCCTCGGACTTAAGGGCTACTTCCAGGGGAAGGGAAAATAAGGTGGAGGGGCTGTGACCACGGTGTGTCATCACCCAGCCGGGAAGGGACTGAGTTGGGATTTGGATCTGAATCCTGCTGTCTCGCTTATAAAAGTGTAACGTGTGTTGTAAAGGGTCATGGTGGTCTAAACCAGAAAGCACTTAACAGTAGAAAGCTTTGCAAATGCTACAGAATTTCTGTGACCTTCCACTGCCCTCTGGAAATTGTGAGCTCCCACAGAATAGGGCGACTTCAGGCAGGATGTCCCCCAGGTAATATTTTCTTGGTATAAGAGAACGTGTGTTGGTGTTTTTTGTTTTTTGTTTTTTTGGGTGAGGAAGATTGGCCCTGAGCTAACATCTGTGCCAACCTTCCTCTATTTTGCATGGGGATGCCACCATAGCATGGCTTGATGAACAGCGTGCAGGTCCACCCCTGGAGATTGGAACTCCTGAACCCTGGGCGCAGCACAGTGGAGGGCACGAACTGAACCACCACACCCCTAGGCCTGTCCACGTGTTGGTTTTTAATCCCTCCTTTGAAGGGCTTGGGCTGTGCAGTCCTGCTGCGGCATGGTCCACAGTTCTCTGGGGACGGGCGTTTCTTCCGCACATGACAGGGTCTCACCATAGGGCCCAGCCCTCAGACACATGCGGACAGCTCCGCCCGCCGCCCCCACTCACCCTGACCAGGAAGCTGCACGTGCCCTTGCGCACCGCGTCCTCGTCCGCCTGCCACTGGTGTGGGCGCGACGCTTCGGGCACGTAGGCTGGCTTCCGCCGGCGCAGGCTCTGCCGTAACTTGTTCATGGTGCCCGCCCCGTCTGGTGACACAGGACAGGGGTGCGGGTCAAGGGCGGGGTCAGAGGCATGGGGCTCAAGGCGGAGGGAGACAGTGTTCAGGGAGCACGGGGTCAGCTAGCATGGGAGTAGGGTTACCGGGTTAGGGGTCACTGGGCAGAGGACATGACATTCAGGGAACATGGATCAGCAGCGGTCAGGGGACGCCCGGAAAGGGGGCAACAGAGGCAGGGGAGTGTGAGAGTCAGCAGTGGGGGTTCAGGAGACATGGACTAAGGGGCATGGCGGTTGGGGATGGAGCGCTCACAGCTTTTCGGGGTCTGGAGATTAGGGATCTGAGTCAAGAGGCATGAACATCCAAAGTAATGGAAAGGCACGGGGTTAGAGGGCATAGGCGTCAGGGGTCACAAGGTCAGGGGATGAAGTGGTCAGAGGGCAAAGGGGTTGGGAGTTGCATGGGTCAAATGTGGGGTGACTCAGAAGGTCCAGGGATTGAGGTCCAGAGCCCAGGCCAGAGGCGGGTGGGGAACGGGAGCTTGTCTCTGTGCCTCTGAGATACCGCCCCTCTGACAAGTAGGTCTAGGGTAAGGCAGGGGCCCCGGGGGCGGTGTGCACCTGTGACCATCAGAGGTAGGGGGAGGGGAGGGGGCGTGGCCAGCCACAAAGACGGTCTTCATTGACTAGGACAGTCTTCACTGACTGATAAGCCATACTGACAGTCCCAAGAGGAGGGTGAAGGGACACCCAGGACAGAGCACCAACAGCAGGGGGCGACTGTGTGTGTGTGCAAGCTGGTGTGCAGCTGGTGTGTTCCTGAATGGTGCCTATGAGTGTATTTCTGAAGGCTGTATGGAAGGACGCAGGTCTGAGAACGGCTGTTTATGAGTGTGTGTCTGTGAATGCTGTCCCTGAGGGGGTCTGTGTCCAGGAGTGTAGCTGTGGTCTGTGAGTGCAGGTCCCTGAAGGTTGTTGCTGAAGGGTATCCATGTGTGAGAGTGGCTGTGCGTGTGTGTCATGGAATGTTGCCTGTGAGGATGTCTGTTTGAGCATGAGGCTGTTGTCTTTGCAAGGGCATGTCCATGACTGTTGTCTTTGAAGCTGTGTCTCTGTGAGAGTGTGGCTGTTGTCTTTAGGACTGTTGCCTGTGACGTTGTGTCTGTGAGAGTTGCCCCAGAGACCATGTCGCTGTCCAAGAGTGCAGCTGTTGGTGGGGAGGCTGTTGTTTGTGAGGGTGTGTCTGCGTCAGAGCATGTGGCCACTATCAAAGTGAGTTGGGTCCATGGGTGTTGTTCTGAGGGGGTGTCAGTAGGCAACTGCACGTCCATGAGGGTGTGTGAGAACAGTCCAATGAGGCTGTCGTCTTTGAGAGTGTGTTCATGAGGCTTATTTGTGAGGAGGTGACTGTGTGAGAAGGTGGCTCCTGTCTATGAGAGTGCTGAGTATTCTATGTGAGACTGCGTCTGTGGGCAAAAGTGTGGCTCTTTGTGAGAGCATGGCTCCATGGGTACTGTCTGGAAGGCTGTGTCTGCTTGTGAAAGTACAGCTGTTGTCTATAAAAGTGTGGGTATGTGCGTGTTGTCTGGGAGACTATCTGTGTGTCAGAGTGTGTCCCTTGGGAGTGTGTATCTGAGTCTGTATCTGGTTAGTGTCCGTAGTCGCCTGTGTGAGGGAGCCTGGGTGTTGTCTCAGAATGTGTCTGTCTGTTTCTGTGACCCTGCACCTGTGGGTGTGGGGATGTCGGTGTGTGTCTGAATGTCCGAGTGTGTGTGTGACATAGTCTAGGTGTGTGTGTGTGTGTGTGTGAATAAGTCGGGCTGTGACGGTTACTGAGTGTGCAGGGAAGAGGTCTGAGGGTGTCCACTCATGAGGGTGATTAGGCCTCTGTGACCGCAGGGGCAGTTCCTCTGATGGTGCTAGGCAGACCCACCCAGCCACTCAGCCCCTGCCCTGTCCCCAGCTGGTCACTCACCTGGCTCCGTCCTGGAGGTTTCAGGGGGCCCCAGGGCCCCACAGGGGGCTGGGGGCAGATGCTGCTCAGGCCTCCTGGGTCCGCCCTGCCCAAGGAAGGGAGAAGAAGGTAAGAAGCTGGCTTGGGATGGGGTTCAGTCCTCTCCCTCACCCCCTCTTTGGACATCAGCCAACACCCCTCCATCTCAGGCTCCCTGATGAGAGCCCTGGTTGTCATAGCAACTGTTACTAGAGAGATGAGCCACCTGGTTGCAAGGGCCCAGGAATGAGTAGGTGTGTTTGGGGGGCATTTGTTGGGGATGTCCCAGCCTCAGGAGGCCCTCAGTACCCAAGGAGATGGTGTCAGGAGGGAGTAACCTTGCTATCTAGACACACGTCCAGGGATACACACAAACATACAGCCATATGTATACATGCAACTCATGGCCACGGTTGTCCCTAGCACCTAGTGACAGCTCTGTGCTTTTACTTACACACAGGCACAACCACAGCCACACACACCAGATGACACAGATACCCATAAATGGTCACAACCACTGTAAACATCTGGTCACATACCTGTGTTCACAGGCATACACAGTCTCCATTACGGACACTGGTCCACCTGCCCACAGGGAGTCCCAGCCTGCCTAGGCACTGCCACAAACGTCTGCTCACATCAGCTGCTGGCATTCGGTCACTTCTATTTTCTCAGCCACACACAAACAGCTGGGGCCAGGCACACCCACCAGAGTGGCACAGGCACAGCCACACCAATGACAGTTATGTTTCCTCAGGCACCCACCCAAGATCCTCATGTCACATACCCACCCACAGAGAATCATACCCAGTCAGAGGTCATCCGCTAGCACTAAGCCACACAGACACAATCACAGCACACACACTTGTCATACATAGCTCACTCCTGCATGTTGACATTTGGTCATGGATGCCTGTGGACATACTGACACGAATTTGGTCACACACGGCCACACCCCATCACAGCCATGTGTGTGATCATCTACAGCACACAGCTGCGCATGGACACTCAACCCCTTCTATCAGTCACACCAACACAACTTCTTGGTCACACAGACCCAGTTGTAGGGGCACACATTTGGTCATAGTATCAGCCACACTTATGTGGACAGTCCTCCATACCCAATCACACAGAGACACTGATGGCCACGGCCCAGGTGTTATAAACACATACCCCCGCGCCCCCCAAAACACTCAAGACACACATACAACCACCCAGAGACAACCATCCCTAAGGATGGCCACACTCAGACACAGTCACAAAGTCGGTGGTGAGAGTCACAGCCATACACATTTCAGAAATGGTCATGTATGCAAAGTCACATAGCATCAGTGTCCGTAGTACCCAGCCATATATCACAGTCATAATTCCGTCACCCAACGTGCCATGGCATACCACCATAGAAAAACACATAGTCTCTTTTCATGCAAACACACAAGTCACACACACAAGTATGTAGCCACACACAACCACAGCCCCATGTGGACTGACGCATAATATCACACACATAGAGACATTAGCACATAATTTCCATTTTACACATCAAAAGCGCACCGGCGGGTGTATGCTCAGAAAGGCAGTGACCCAGACGTAGCTTGATAGCTGCGTTTACACAGAAGACACGGTTCCTGACAGAGCCATGTACGCAGTGGCCCTGTCACCAAATCACACAGATTCAAACACAAGCAGTCCAGCATGCATGCAGACACACACACACCAAACAGTCAGACAGCTACAGACACACACACTCTCACAGACATGACACAGACACAAGTACATATAGTTACCCAGGGTCACAGACATGCAGGTCACATAAAAATATAGAAGCCACAGTCACATACACACATCCGCACAAACACACACAAGTTACCTGGTGCCACCACACACAGACACACCTACAGTTTCAGTCACACACAATGAAATAACCCACTATTAATAGTCAGCCAGGGTTTCAGACCTCAACTCAAATACACAACCCAAATCACACATACACAACTATAAATGCACACGGTCACTCAGTATCAACACACAGAGCTAGTTGCAGTCATTTATACAACCTGGTCACACACACAGATGTGGCCATGAACACACAACCACTGTCATACAAACATACAAGTCACAGTGCCACCACACCACCCCAGTCACATAGGCACAATGTGACTTCGTATACAATGGCAGTCACACACCCAGAGTTGCAGGGACATTGTGTAACACACAGCCACATGCGTGACACATATAAAATCAGTTACAGACACAACCACAAACACAGTCATTGGGAGAGTCGTACATGGACAGTCATAGACACAATTCTACTTACACACGGTCACAACTCCACCCACATCTTTAGTTAGCCACACACATGCCCCAAACCAGACTCAACGCATACATTGTCACATACCCAGTGATAGTCACCAAAGCACACAAACATAGGGTCACAAAAGATGTAACCACAGACTCAACCACACAGTCACAACCACATACACACTCAAACACAGAAAGACTAAATAGTACAGTGTTCTGCACAGTGAGCAGCTATCACACACTCACACAAATGCTGAGCTCACACACAGACACAATCACAAACACTGCCAGACACAACCACAAAACAGACACACAACACAGCTACAGTAACACAAACATGGGGTCACAGTTAGCCACCTCCCCATCCGTTGCTTTCCCTTGTCCCCCCAGGTACCACACACAAAGCCACCGTAACGCAGACGCTGCAGACAGACAGGGCTGTACCCGGTCCCTGGGGAGCCGCCCCCCCCCCCCCAGCATGAATCTGGGGGGTCAGAACTGGGAGAGGAAGGCGGCGCATTGTCTGCGGGTGGGGCTGCTCCCAGACAGCTGGGCAGCCCCAGGGACAAAAGGGGTGGCCCAGGGGACCTGTACCCTGGGACCCTTGATCAAGCCTTGGGGGGGGGGGCTAAAATTTCCCTTATTTTATTCAGGCTAGGGAGGGGGTGGAGTCCCAGGCACAGGGAGCTTGTTTTGAAAAGGGTCTATTCTGGGACGCCGCCCAAGGATTGGGGGGATGCTGTGCTCAGGACGCCCTGAAGCCTGGGGACAGACTGTGTCTGGAATGCCCCCAGGCCTTGGCTTGGTGGGGACGCTGTGCCCAGGGACCCCATTCCCAAGACCTTGCCTAGACGGTTGTTGTGCTTCGAGATCCCCTCAGGCAGGGAGGCGTTGGGACTGCGTCTGGTCTGGAATCGCCTCCCGGAGGCCTTGGCTTCATATGGGGGTTGTGTCCCGGACCCATCGCCAAAACCTTGCCTGGGGGGTTGTACCTAGAATCTATCCCCCTGTCCTTGATCTTTTTGATGGGGTAGGTCTACCTCTAGGGCCTTGGCAAGAGAGGGCCTGTGCGCAAGACCCCTATCTCCCAATCTTTGGCTTGGTGGGGGCCTGTTCCTGGACCCCCACCCAGGACTACCCTCCCCAGCCCTCGCACCCTCTCTCCATCCGGGCGCTGCGGCTGCCTCCCACCCTCCGCCACATCAGCAGCGGCGCCGCCCCCCACCCGAGCCCCCCTCTCCCGCCCTTCTCACGCTGGCCGCCGCGGTGCGGGACATCCAGGGCCCGGGCGCCCCCGCCTCCCGCGGCCCCGGCTGGGCCCGGATCCCCGAGCGCTGCTGCTGCTGTGGCGGCGGCGGCGGCAGCTCAGTCTGACGCGGGCCGGGGCCGGGGGCCGGGGTCTGGCGCGGGATGCACGCGCGCGAGCCTGCTCCGCTCCCCGGAGGATTCCGTTCCGGGGGCGGGGGCGCGCCCCTCCCGCCTCAGCTCCCCGCCCCAGCCCCGCCCATTGGTCCGCCGCCTGCTGGATATGCAAAGAGGCCCCGCCCCTGCCCGGCGCCTCGCCGCTCAAGCCCCGCCCCTTGGCCGTAGGCCACGCCCACACGCAAAACACGATCCCGCCTTCCCCGGTGCGGCCACCGCCCCGCCACGCCCATTGGCCGGTCCCTGACAGGGCAGGTACAAGAGCCTCGCTGAGACCTGTCCCCAGGCTTAGGCTCCGTTCTCCTCCGTGACCCTTGACCTCAGAGCCCCCTCTGTCCCGCGTCCGACAGAGTTGCTTCGGGAGGCGCCATGCCGCCCCACATCCCCAAATGTTCCCGCTAACCCCACGGTTCTCCCAGCCCAGCGGGGGCGGGCAGAAGCGGTGACGAGGCACTTTTTGCAAGGAAGGGGAGGGGGAATGAACAGACCCCGGCGTCCTGGTGCGCGAACGGTTCGGCTTGGGGGGCGGAGGCGCCAGGCTGGGACGAGGGCGCGGTTCTGGCCGCCGCTGCGCCCCCGCCCAATCCTGTGGGTTTGGCAAAGCAGCTGGCAGGGGCATTAAGGCCCATTAGCAAAGGCGAGGTTGCTGGGAGGCGAAGGGAAGGGCCCGGAGCCTGGGAGGTGGTGTGTGTTGTCGGGGAGGCCTTCTCAGCTGCTGCAGCCTTTCGAGCAGGTGGTCAGCACGTGCGGGAGGGGCGGGTGAGGGGGTGGGAGGGAAAGGGGAGAAGGAAGTTCCCGGCAACAGATGGCCCAGGCAGGCCTGGGGCTTTCAGACAAGAGGATGGGAGGGGGCTGGCCATCTGCACCTGGAGGCAGCCCGCGAGCTCCTCCCCCTCCCCCCCAGCGCAGAGAAAAGAGCTGGGGGAAGGGGAGGGCCGCTTTTATTCGGACTGAAGGTTGAAACACCCGCCTTCCCCCTCCCCAACACAGAAAAGATGGACCGGGGAGAAGGCAGCTGGCGGAGGGGCGAGGGAGGCAAAGGTGAGGCTGCCTCCGCCCACCCCCCGCCCCTCGCCCCTTTCACTGGCCAGGTCAGCTGGAGACCTGAGGCAGAGGGGAGGGGCTTCCCCTCTAGATGAGTCTGGATCTCCATGATGGCTGCAGGGGTTAAGGCTCTCTCGAAGGTTGGCAGAAATAAATTAATCCCTGGTGTAGGGTTCCTGGGTGCCCACTTTGGAGTGAAGACGGCAGAAGATGGGGGCGTGAAAGGGAGTTCCCTAGCCCCAGGGTTCCTCAGCCCCCAGGGAAGGGAGCTAGGCAAAATGGGGATGCCCAAGTTGGAGGGGGTCCCCAGACCTGGAGCAGAGTGGGAAGGAGGCATCAGACCAGGGGATGGCCCGCTCTGGGGCCGGAATCACAGGATGGAGTCTCTCTGAGGGGTCTGACCAGACGTCGCTCTGGTCAGGAGGCTGCGGGCAGTGGCTATGCCTGGCGACTGGCCCAGTAGCGGTGGTAGGTGTCCTGGAAGAGGTCCCGGCAGGCGATGTGGGCGCGGAGGCGGGCACAGGCTAGGAAAGCCCCTGCCAGCTTGCGGTGCAGGGCATAGGTCTCCTCAGGCGGGGGGCGGAGCCGGTGCCGCAGCAGCACAGGGATGAGAGCCTGCACCCGGCGGGCAGTGTCACCTGCCCCGAAGTCGTAGGGGCCGGGAGTGGCGAAGGGCTCCCCCAGGATCATCACCGCCTCCACGTGGGCGTCAGAGAATGCCTAGGAGCGAAGGAGAGCAGAGGCCCCCAGTACAGTCCTCCACTTACCAGGAAGGGACGCACAGACCTCAATCCCTCAGGGTCTCAAGTATGAACACAAGTGCCACCCCCCGACTCCCCAAAGAGTAATAAGCAGCCTCCACTCCCTCCAGATCCCCTAGGAGACAAGCAGTCCCCTACTCGCAAAAGAAATGGCCCTTCACTTCCTCTCAGAACCTCTGACAGACAAGTAGCCCTCACTTTAGAACAGAGAAGCAGCCTCCAATCCGGACCCCCAGTACCCACTAGCAGCCCCCTACTCCCTCCCCTAGAAAAGTGGCTCCCATTTTCCCAGGGTTCCTGAGTAGCCAAGCAGCCCCCCGTTCCCCCCACTCTCCCCAGAGGGCGTCCCCCCCCAATAGACAAGCAGCCCCCTAGACTTCCCCACACCCTGAGAGTTCCCCCAGTAGAGACAGACAGCTCCGCGCTCCTCCCAGTGGACACCTGCCCCTACTCCTCCAGTGTCTCCTGACCTTGGTTTCAAAGCCTGTGAGGAATCTGAGGTCCCGGGATTTCTGCAGGACCTGGTCTCGGTCTCCGTTGGCTGCAGCCATCACCACCTGGGGGGATGGGCAGAGGGTCAAAGGCCCAGGGCAAGCAAGCCGGGGTTCAAGGAGGGGTCTGCAGCCGGAGCTAGAAGCCTGGCCCTCCCCATACCCACTTTCCTTCTCAGCTCCCTAAGTCCTCTCGCTAGCAGCCTCCCCCTCCTCCCCTTGCCCCCATGTCTCCCTGGAAACTGTCCCAGAGCCTGGGGGTGCAGCTGGTCAGAGGTTCTGCCCACCTCGCTGGGAACACAGCGCCTGCCTGGAAACTACCACAGGGAAACAGCAGAGGAAGATAAATGTGAGGGGCTGTCATGGGTCCAAACCCTCAACTGGATGAGGATGTGACTGCGACCCACAACTGTGGGCGAGGTTGCTCCGGGCCATCTCTGTGACGTCCGTCAATGTCTGTCTCCTGCACTGGATGGGGAGCCCAGAGAGAGCGGGGGTTCTGGTTGGGTGTAGTCCCGTGTGGCACGGGCCGTGGCACCCAGGAGGCCCTTGGTGAACCTTTGTTTAGCAAATCAGTGTGCAGAGCTGAGCACCAGCCATGAGTGCCCATGGGGAGGGCACACGGACAGACAGACAGAAGTGGGAGCCAGCCTGCCTGGGCTTGATCCCAGCTCTGCCACTTGCTGGCTGGGAGACTCTGGGCAAGTCGCCTTGTCTCAGGCCTCTGCTTTCTCCTCTGTGAAGTAGGAACAAGGAAAGTCTCCTCCTCATGGGGTTGCTGGGAAGACAAAGGAGGTGATACCTGTGGAGTATTTAGCACTGTGTCTGCGTGTAGGAAGCGTCGTGAATATTAGGAGCTGCTGTTCTTCTCAAGAGGTGGCTATGAGGGTCCCCACGTCACAGAAGAGGGAAAAGGCTCAGGGCAGAGAATGGCAAGAAGTAGAGCGGGGCGAGCCCTTAGCCGCTGGGGTGCCCTTCCGTGGGAGGAAGGGGAATACAGGATTAACTCTGGCAGCTCTCTTCTGTCTCAGCTGCCCCTGCCCGAGCCTGTCCGGCCATCTGTCAGGCCTGTGGTCCTCGGGGGCCTGTGTGACAGGGCTGTTTTAAACTGGAAAAGGCTGGGGAGACGGGAGGAGGGCCTGGGGGCGGGAGGGCGGCACAAGATGTCCCAGCTACTCAGAAAGACAGGCCTCGGCTTTGTGTCTCAAGTAGCCTGCAGAGAGGCCGCAAGGGGCCTGTGTGTGTTGGGGGGAGGATTACCAGCTCCTCCTTCCAGTCCCGATCCCAGGGGTGGCCCCACCATCCTCCAGTCCCCAGGCCAGAGCCCTGGGCCTTGTCCCTCCCCTCCCCTCTCCACAGCCTTCCAGCTCCCAGTCTTTTTTTTTCTTTTTTTTTGAGGAAGATTAGCCCTGCGCTAACTGCTGCCAATCTTCCTCTTTTCGCTGAGGAAGACTGGCCCTGAGCTAACATCCGTGCCCATCTTCCTCAACTTTATACGTGGGACGCCTACCACAGCATGGCTTGCCAAGCGGTGCCATGTCTGCACCTGGGATCCGAACCAGTGAACCCCCGGCCGCCGAAGCAGAATGTGCAAACTTAACCGCTGCGCCACCGGGCCAGCCCCTCAGCTCCCAGTCTTAAAGACCAGTATTCAGAGGGAGTTTTCTAATTCCGACTGTGTCCCTCCTCTGCTCAGATCCCTCCGTGGCTCCCCACGGCACCTGGAGGAAGGACAAGCTGCAAAGCATGGCTTCTAAGACCCACAGTGATTTGGCTCCAGCCTCATCGCTGGCTCCAGCTCCACGGGCCCAGTCAGAACATGAACTTGTTGTTGGTCCTCTAGAACCTTACTAAAGCCGTGTGCCACACAAGGACATTTCAGACATTCAGTCAACGATGGACCGCATGTTCGACAGGCGCCGGTGAGGTTAGTACCACAGAGCCTAGGTGTGCAGTACATTGTACCGTCTGGGTTTGTGTAAGTGCACTCTATGGTGTTTCACGACAAAATCGCCTAACGTTGCATTTCTCAGAATGTGTCCTGTCGTTAAGCAACATGGGACTGTACTCCAGGGGCTGTCCCTGTACAAGTAGCTTTGGCGTCACCTGGGGGTGTGTGAGAAACGCAGCATGTTATGCCTGACTCTAGGCAAAAGCTGCATTTTGACAGCATCATGGAGTGGGGTGTTCGTCGTGTACATTACAGTTTGAGAAGTGCTGCTCTAATGGAATACATCTGCCTCCTCACCTCTGGGCCCTTGCACATGTCATCTGTCTGCCCTCCCAGCCTCTTCCTGATTGGTCTCCTCATCCCTCAGGTCTCCACTCTGATGTCTCCTCCTCCAGGAAGCTCTCCCTCACCCTCTAGGCTGGGCCAGGCTCCTCCTCTGGGCCCCCACAGTCCCCTGGGCTTCCCCATCCCCGCCCTGACCACTCTGGGTCCTTCTTGTCTGTCCTCTTACTGGCCTGTGAGCTCTGTGACAGCGGGGACCTGGGTTGGATGGGTCACTGTTAACCCCAGTGTTGCCTAGAATAGGTGGGAACAGAGGGCTGTCAGAGAAGGTTTGACTTAACTAAATGATTGGAAGACCAGGTCAAATGTCCAATCTCAACAAGTTAATGAGACGGTGTTGTCTGTGGCCTCTGAGACCAATCAAGCCCGGTGGGCAGGATGGACAGTGGGAGGGACGGGCAACATCAGTAAGGAAACACTTCCTGAGGAGAGCGAGGCCCCTATGGAGCAGCCTGCCGGGGAGGATGTGAGCATAAGGCTGGACACCAAGGC